TGACTATCACAAGATTTTTCTTCGCATGTTGAATTCTGTCGATTCACCTCGATCACATTGGGTATTGAAAGCTCCAATGCACTCTCTTTTCCTAAGCACATTGACGCGTCATTATGCGAATGCTTTAATAATAATGACGCATCGAAATCTGGACGAAGCCCTACCATCCATTTGCAGTCTCACTTTGGCGTATGGTAGTGATTATTACGATGTTTCTGATCCAGAGAATCGAAGCACATTGGAGACACAAGCTATTCAAACTACAGAACATTCAATTGACTGTATAGTAAAGTTTCGAACTAGTGATTGTCGTGCACAAGAGCATTCGCACAACAGGATCTTTGATGTTAACTACGAAGATTTGATGAGGCAGCCGATCGTCATCGTACATGGAATTTATCAACATTTTGGATTGAACTGGTCTGATGAATTCGAAACGAACATGCAGCATTGGCTTCGTGAAAATCCTCAAGGCAAGCAAGGTCGTCATACATACAATCTTAGTCAATTTAATTTAACGCATGAAGACATTGCGGTACAATATGCTGACTACATTAACATGTTTCTTGCTTCACCAACTGAACCAGAACATGTTGACAAGAAGGCTCTATGTAATGAATTGCAGAACTAGAATTAGTAGGTGTTTCTACTGTACAAATATGCGTTGTTAATAACACCGTTACATCATTTAATCAATAAAAATCGAAGAATTTCATGTCACACAATTCGTTTTTTTTCATGAACCTATTTATCTTGATTTTTCAAGTAAGCCATTTTGTGAAAGATTTCAAGTGGCAACTAGTAGATGTACTTGTAGTACTTAAACCCAATTTATTTAGGAAAAAGGTCACATGAGAAAAGTGAATATGTGAATTTCGATGCGCTCAATGAGAACAATAGGATAAGTGCATTTAAAGACAACCATCATTGTTTAAAACAGGATGCAGTGTCAATATTAGTGTTCTTTCAACAACTCACACCCTTCGAGCTGATACTCAGCAGATGGCTAATTCACAAAAAATTCGTGGGTGTACAAATGGACTTATCGACCGTCGTGCTGTATAATAAAAAAAAAAACATTAATTTTTCATTCGGTATCTTTGTTATGTGTTATTTAAGTTCATGATTTATTGTTGTTTCTAACTAATTATTTAAAGCTATTGATGCTGATTCAGTAGAATGTAACCAAGATCTAATTTCACAAACCTATGCAAAAAACCTTAGGCCGACTGTCCTAGGGTGAGCCTGAAAACTCTGGTGCCCTTCATACGTCTCATTAATGTCTGATATGGTTTTTTACTTCCACAGTATAGAACAGCTAATTTGAATGATAGAGGAAGACAATGCACATCATGGCATCAAAAGATCTTGTGAATAGTTTTAAGTGAAAAGAAAAAGAGTCAAATTTGAATAGAATATCTGGTCTTATACTCTTCGTGCCATCGTAACGTTCCTTGCAAGAAGCTCATTGAGTAATGATTCCGATAGGCTTCGCTAATAAGACAGAAAATTCGATGATGAAGGAAGAACCACAAGGTCATGCTCATATACATTGCGATTGTAAATGAACCTTGAAGAAGAAAAAACATAACTTTTGTTTTAAGATCGATTCTAGCGAGGCAAAACAAAAACCATGAAAAGTGAATCAGAAACGAAGCTTTAAAAAAACACAGGACAAAAATATTAATTCAAAAGTGTGCAATTTTCTTTGATTTTAATCTCCAACATATGCATTTCAAGTCTTCCACGTACGAAAGAGAGCGTGGGGAAATGATTCATATTTCGATAATCAAAAGTAGAGATTAAGTCAATGTTTTGTTTTGACTACTTGTCGCAATTTCTCTTTGAATTTTCCAGAGAAATCAATTTCAACTAATGAAATAGCCAATAAATCGATCAATTTTCGTATCATATCACACAAACTATTGATATATTCGTCGTTTACATTATGATAATTTTCAATATAAATATATTTCAATTTTCATTTTGTTACTGCTTGTACAAGTGGTATCACATCTTGCAATGTTAATCTATTTCCATTTTGTCCCAGGCGAAGATATGTCAGTATAGGATACGTTCGAGGACTATTGACAATATAGTGTACACCATTATTTCCTATCTGATTACTACTCAAATCGATCATTTCCAACGATATTATGTTCTGATCAAATACATTAACTAACACTTTTTTTTATTGGATCCCATAGTACATGACAATATTTTATTGTCGAACATGAGGCAATATTTCATTCGTGTTCTCTGATATTGCGTCAGAGAACGAGAAAGAATATTAACATTCACACATTTACTGCTAGTGTATTCATTTTTATCACACTTCACATCGCACTCTCATGAACATATTAAAAATCTGAGTTTTCGACCAAGTTCCGATAGTAGTGCTACTCGTATAGTTCAGCATTTTTCATACGAAAGTCAGAAGGAGCTGATACTCTGAATTCAGACGTTTATTATCATGATCTATTATTTTAGATAGATGGATCGAAAGTTACAATCTCTTCTTTTTTTTTAATATTAATAGTTTATTGTGCCATGGTGAGCCTCGCAGAAAGAAAAGATAAGAAAAAAATAAAAAAACAAGTGGCATCAAATAAATAAAAAGAGTTAACAGGCATCAATATCGATCACCTCTTCATATAGACATAATAGACGCACGTACAACAGCGATTTTCTTCACAACATAGTTTTCACTATTCGCGATGTCACAATTTGTCTTTGATCAATGATGAGGATTCAAAAACATGTTGTTGTATTTCTTATAGCGCTGCTCAATTAACTCTCGCGTCAGCCCAAGCTGGTCCAGAGTGTATATGCTGTGACCTTGCTTGCCCTGAGGATTATCGCAAAGCCATGTTAGCATGACCCTCTCAAATTCTTCTGACCATATGAGTTCAAAGTGCTCATACACTCTGCAAACAGTATCGATAGGCTGTGCAAGTAAGTCGCCGTAAAATATGTAGAAAAAACGTGTATCCTGATGAGCACGCCAGAAATTGATGAGACGATGGATGAACATATCCGCTCCATGTAAAATTCGTTCTTCAACTTTGTGCATATGAACCTTCGTATCAACTTTGTTAGTATCGTAAAATAAACTAGTTTGCACAGTGCACAAGCGAGCCATAGAGAGTAGCACATCGTCTAGCCGACGATGAATCATAATAAATGAAGTCGATGGATAGTGGCGTGTGAGAGTATCTAGGTATAGTAGATGCATAGGTGACTTGAAAAGCCAATGAGAACGGGGCGCATCAACATTATTCAACATTTGTATGAATATCTTATGGTACTCGTAAGTAAAGTCCTTGTTCGTGTCATTGTTGAATCATGTAAAAATTCGGTGTTGTCCTCCGTTATGAACACATCTAACCAATTTAGATCAGCTTGAAAAAGAATGTACTGATCTTCTTCGTAGTCGAAAAACGGATGACAAGCACGCGCATCTTCAATAAAATTGGTCAAGCCTAATTCGATCAACCCTTCACGGAGTGTGCGTGTGGTATTATTGCGTTGTGTCTGAGTGGCTGTGTCATGTCTGTGAGGGTGGTGCTCGAGATGTCGGATTACAGGCGAGCAGATTGTAGACAAGTGTTGTGCCAATACGGGGAAGATTACATACAACGAATGCTAGAGACATTGAATACGCCGTTGCTCTATGTTCAGAATAGGCAGATACATAGTTGAGCACATTTTTACGATTCGTGTAACGTTGTTCGAGAGTCTTGTAGAACAGGTGACAACCGATCTGCGAGCAATCACTTGAAAAGAACTCAATATTTCATTGTGGAAAGGAAATTGTGTCTTGGCTTCCTCACTTAGATCGTCCGCACATAGAGTGACGTCTGTATATAGAGCAACGTGTATGTTATCGTTGCTCGTATGGTAGTAAGTAACTCCTGTTGGGTCACTTTCTGCATACTCTTCTACTACATCCGTGTGAAGCACATAGTTTTGTTTCGTTCTATATGTATATATCTTCAAAGCATTGGAAAGCTTCATGCTACAATCACATGCAATTAGTGATACATATTAGTTGCACATAAATGCAACCTTCTTTTTATCATTACAATTATCGCTTGCAGCTAATGAAATGAAACTGTCATAATGTTTGTGAATATTTCTCTTAAAGTGTGCTGCATATACCTGAAGTCTTTATCAATAGGTAGCTCATGTCATTCTCTACACAACCTTATGAAAAGAAGTCTACCAATGAATAGCTTATAGAATCATATCCTGTCAATACTCCAACGATTCAAAATTACCCACATTTAAGATATGAATTTGATAAAACTAATGATTTCTCTTCGCCTGGCAAAATAGATATGAAACCCTACTTCAATGCAAATTACTTATGTTTTGAGGCGTACTCATTCTAATAGAGCTCAAAAGAACATATATTCGAATATAGTTGTGAGGTTTCAGTAGGCAATCTTCTCCAAAAGAAAAAACGAGTTGAAATCATCGATCGTTCTCATTTAACTTAGTAAGAAATGTGAATATGCAATCATTTTCTATTTAACATAACAAAATAAAAATGGTAATGAATCTTCATGAAAGATTTTCAGAATGCAAATAGAGGAAAACAAACATATGATTTTGTTCAGTTAAATGTACAGTACGTCGAAAAAAACAACTATTCACGGTACTGATAAAGTTTCTTACAAGTGACAAAATGGTCTACGAATATAGTTCGAGAAAACTGTCATAGTTCGTTGACAAAAATTAGAAAAGTTTGTAAAACTTTTTATAAAAAAATTTTAATGATGTTTTTCATCAATACTTGCACATATTTTAGTAATTGTTTTAAATCAATATTAGTCAGTATATATGGAGCTATTCAAATCTTGAAAATAATGTACTGACCATACTTATGCAATGTATATTTGGGTCTTCACTAATTAAATACATAATCAGTATACAAAATATAATAGAACGAAAAAAAAACAACACATAAACACAAAGAACACAATTTTATAATTTCCTTATTGTCGTGATGAAGCAATATTACGATTAGTATTTGGATCAAATTGTGTTACATTTTTATTTGATGGTGATGTTCTACCACTCATCTATAAAAAAATATGAAATAAATTTTTAAAATATTATATTTTTTTTTTTTAATGTATAACTTACAAATTTTCTTTTTGATTCAATCATTCTTGTATTCTTAGTAAAATAATCTGGTTCTTGTTCACGTCTTGTTTGTTTTTTTTTCATATTTAACCATTCATCATAGAACATACTTTCAAATATAGGAACAAGTTCACATGCACGTGGTAAATCTGATAAATGAATACGCATAAAATCAAATGAAATACAAACATTATCAAATTTTTGTTCTTGTTTTTCATCTTTTTGACTTTCATCATCTGTTTTTGTTTTAGATAAAAATGGAATTTTTGCATAACGTTGTGAAAAATGCCATAAAATTGTATATTTAGCATTCATTCGACGACCAACATCAATAGCTTGAGCCATTGTACAATGACGCATTTGTGAAGCATAAACTTCTAAACCTGTTTCAAATGTTGATTCATGAATAAGAACATCAACATTTTGACCTAAATGTAAAAAAAAGAAAAATACAATAATTAAAATAATTTTAACAAATAAAACTTTATCATTAATTATTAATATATAAGTCATAATATAGATTTGTTCTAATAATTTCTACAGAACATTTAGAAAAGTACTAATCAATGGATAATTTTTTTCAAGTTTTGAAATTAATTTAATGTTTAAATGATCTAAATAATCCATGAGATAAATCGGAGGACATTATAGATTAAAAAAAATCGAGTAATATTTAATTTTATAGGGTGTGGTTATGGCTGAAAACAAGATTCTCGTCTAACACTTGCACTAATACATTCACACATCCTTTCAATTTGCCATTCATAATAACAACTGATTTAAGAAACGAAGTTTTCAATATAAAATCCTCAAAAAAAAAAGTATATCAATTTATCCATTCTTTTTTTAAGGTTTTGTTATTACTCGACATAAAATGATTCTAGATAATTTAAGATCAATTTTTAATAATATTCGTATTATATAAAACTAACCTGCTTGAATAAAATCACTTGATTGTTTACAATCACCACTAAATGCTAATGACCATCCATCAATATGTCTAAGAACTAATGCATGTGCATCATAAATATGTTCAACAAGTACTGTTTGTACACCATGTAATCCAATTGATTTAAATTTATCAAAAAGAAATATTTCTTCTTCGGTATTTTCACCTCCAACATGTGTTAATGTTGGTAAACCATTTGTTAATATACGATTAAAAACAATATGAACATCATCATCAAATAAATGTTCATCTGAAAAATAATTCCATTGTTTTCGACCAACATCAACATATTTATTTGGACAAAGTAATATTAATTTTTCATATTTATGTCCAAGATTTTCATATGCACGTCGACGTTGTCGTATTAAACCATATAAACCTCCGAGATGATCTGCATGCATATGTGATATATATGCAAAACGAATATGTGAAAGAATTTCATCTGATTGATCACCATAAAAATGACGAATTTGACCAGTTGTACCTTCTGCACATTCGAGAAGAAATATATTTGCATCACTTGAAATAAAAACAAAAAATAAAAAGTTCTTAGCACTATAAAATTTAATCATTAAATATTACTTTATATGAATTAGGATGCCACTAGTATTTCGTGGTTTACTTGGACAAGCTGAACCAGTACCAAGAAAAATAATTTCAGGATATCTAAAAAAAAAAAAAGAAAATACAGATTATTCAAATGGAAACATAAAAAACGAATATTCTTTTACGAATGTCCTGTTTTAGCAATTTCATGCATAGCTTGTAATTGTTGTTTAGCTGCTGTAAATGTTTGTTTAAATTCTTCATTTGCAAGTAATATATCGATATAATTTTGTGGTTGAAGAGTAACTAATTTTGTATTATCTGGTCCTAAAGTTGGACGTATTGGTATACGAGTACTTGTAAAACCATAACTAATATTATCTATAGGTTCGGGAATTTTTAAATCCTAAATAACAAAAAAAAAAAGAAAAGCAAATGATTTTTCATAAAAAAAAAAATATCATTTGATATTTACTTCTTTTAAAATATTATGATAACTAAGTAACGGAAATATTCCATCATCAATATAATTTAATTGTGTTTGATAACGATAAATAGCTTCCATATGAACATTTTTTTGTGTTTCATCAAGTAATAAATGATGTGTTGTATTCATACTAGAAAAATCATATAGATTTATTTACATGAAAAGATATATTGTGACCAACCAATAAACCTTTTCATCCATGTACGATATGTTTCATCGTTTAAGATTGTACTTGGTGCAAGATGAACAATTACATGATATGAATGAGAATTTAATTCACTTTTATTTATTGAATCAAGATAAGCCAATGAAGGACAATCGAGTACTAAATTCAATAAAACAATTTTTACGAAAAAAGCACACTTGTTATTTTAGATTTCATTATTGAGATATTCATCAAAGCATCATCACTGTGGCAACATCTTTTTTTTTCAAAAACATCAGGTCTAATTCAATACATCCACGGGAGTAAAATTCGAACCACTATGTTTCTTTGAATATTATTCCAGCAATGATAGGTTTTTAATCACAGTGGTCGTCTCGATTTCATACAAACTGTAAGTTATAAATTCAGTTTGAATTGAACTTAGGAATACTCTGTAGGAATACTACATTTTTTCTATTTAATAATATAGTATACAATGTCCAACATGGGTCAATTTTTCGTGACCTGATCCAGCTCGACTCGAGTATCATTCGACCTGACCCGAGATTGAAGATATTTTTTTCACAGGTTAATAATCTTTTCAGTGTATTTATACAAACTCTTTCAATATTCGAAATAAAAAAACCATTATTACATCTGATATTGCTATTTGTCTTACAAAAAAACTTCGAAATCGGTCAACTGTTAGTGACTCGAGTCGAACACTGGTAGTAAATCGACTTAACACAGACTATCAACATAGGCAAAGGTTTGTACGATGTTTTCATTATTTTTTTCGTCGTCAAGTTTATATCTAATCATGAAATATTTTGTAAAAAATCTTTTTCAAAGACAATATCGAAGAGACATTGATAAACTAGTGACTCATATATATAGTTTCTTAAGAAAAGAAAACATCTGACAGACATTAACTCTTACTTTATGATTAATACATACTTAAAACTTTAACAGGTGGTTCACCAGATAGAGTCACATCTTTTGAATGAATCTGAAAAAATAGAAAACATCAACAATTATCATTTATATCTAAAAAAAGAAATTTCTTAATTATTTATACATACAATACGACCATCTGGTAATGTAACATCTTCACCATTTTTTAATCGAGATCGAAGTTCAGTACTAAAATAAAGAACAAAAAAAAGTATTTATTTTCTCTGTCAATAAAAATATCCTTACGGTGGTACTTTATGAAAAGCACATAATTCTGCAGATAGAGTAGCTGGAAATGGATGTGTCTAAATTGAATAATATCAATTAAAAATTTTTCAGAAAACAAAAATTTAATATAAACTTCGCAAAGATAAGCATAAACAAGATCATCAGAAAATTTTTTCATTGAAGTTAAATCATTTGATGTTGTCAAACGTTCTGATTTTCTATCTTTTAAAAATATAATTTTATTAAAAAAAAAAAAAAAAAAAAAAAACAAGAAAAAGATGATCTTACCAAGATTTGAAATATTATTATTTACTCGTAATGGTATAGCATTAATTTTAAAACAATCATCTTTAAATTCACCTTTATCATAATCATGTTGTTCTAAATTAATATATAAAATGAAAATTTTTTTTTTTTAATATTAATAATAAATTCTTACCAAGTGTAACATTTGGAAAAGCTTCTAAACCTTTCCAATGTTTTAATAAACTAATCTAAAATTAATTTATAAATATTAATATTCTTTGTTTTCTTTCTTTCTTACCACATCACATGGTGCATGAAATGTAATTTCATTTAAATAAGCATCTTTTAAACTAATACAAACACCTAATAAACCACCCATTGTATCCCAAGATTTTCTTGTCATAAATAAATGTTTAGTTTTAGAAAATTTTATTTCCCATGCTGTATTTTTTTCTTGTAAAGTACGTTGTGTACCTTCACCACAATTGAATATATAATTTGTTTGATCATTATTTAATATAAGTGATTTACTTGTATCAGCATAACCATTTGAAATAATTTGTAAATTAATACGTGATGTTAAACCTGGATCACGACCACGTTCTTTCATTCGAACATGTCGAGGTTTATTTGTTGATGATGATGAAGATTCAGTTTTTAACTTTTTTGCTGAAGACATTCCACGAATAAAATCTGCAATATCAATCGATGATGATGATGATGTAAAACGAATTTGTGTTCGATATAGCAGAGTTTTTACTATAGAAATTGAGAGCATCAGATATATGATACTATTCTCATCTTTAAAAAATAAATGCAAAGATACAATGGTTACTTTTCTTTTTTTTTTTTCTACTTTATAGTAAATAACAAAATATGAGAAAATCGAAACGATGAAGCTATTTTTTTTTTGAATTGAAAATAATCTTTGATTTTTATTAATAAGAAAAATTTTCTTATTTATTACATATTTTTATCAAATGAATCTCATGTAAGTTGACAAAATTAAGAAGATTTGTATTTGTAATACAATTCTATCATCATAAGTTTTTTTTTTATGATCATACATTGGTAAACTACAGTCGTTAATTGTTTTCGATAGATGTCATTAAGTGATGATGTAATCATTTTATTTCTTGTTCTTACGAATTTAATTATGCTACTATTATCATTCGTCTCAGTTAAAATGCATTACGTTTCATTTTACATTGAAAGACAAAACTTTTTAGTTTGTTGTGCATGATTGATTTTGTGAGCTCTCTTTTAGAGACCATTCATATGGTGCATCCAAGTAAAAAATTAAATTGTTCGATCTTTTCGCTGTGTGATCGGAACCTGACAAAGTATCTGAGATGTTACCAACCATCCAAAATGCTCTCTTTTTCATCTTTTTTATGTGATTAATTTTTTTTTGTTATATCTTTTCTCATGCTCATTTCATTTTGATGGTTACTAATCGTTTTCTTATTAGTTATATTGCTTCATTGCAAAGTCATGTGATGTAGAATTTTGTCAAAGAGTTCGTATTTCTTGTTTCTTTTTAAAAATAATGTTAATCTATCAATTATAATCGACGTCAGTCCCTGTACTATCCTTTATATGCATAGATACCGTCGATTCCAAACAGCACAAGAATCTGTTGATATTTTTCTTCTGTACTTTTGAGACAATCGATTCAGTATATTAGATCATGTATAAAAGCTGCTTGTTCAGAAAACAAATAAAATGAAAAATGCAAATCGTTTTGTTGGTTGAAGCTGATATTTATCACTCAAAACTTCATATCGCTTGTTAAACCCTTTGATTTGGCATTTTTTTTTTTCAGTTTTACATTTAAAATCATCGAATTCTTCATAGGAACTCTTATATAAAGGAATATTGTTTAATTTTGAGCATTAAAAAAGTAGTCCTTTTATTTCAATTAATTGTTTTAAGTATCCTAATTCATAAGATTTTCATGAAGTCTGCACATAACTCATGCAATCATTCTTGAGGCTTGTACATGTCAAGCATATAAACAACACAATTTGATTTCGGTAGCTTTGTCTAATACAACAGTTCATCAAATAAATATATCAAAAATACAGATAAAACGAAACATATTTCATAAACAATAAATAGAAAGTTAATTCATTACATTTATAATGAGTGTAAAATAGTAGCATCAAGAAAAAAAAATGAAATTCAATATTATTGGCACTCAAAAATTCATCAACATTGATATTCCTACTCGAGAAACAAACTAACCTTCGAAATTTTCACGAAAGTTACGTGCAAAAAGAAAGAAAAGTGTTTATAGTCAATGACTCCACATCTAGACATTTTTGTCTCGCTCGTCGATTGTCTCTCTACCTAGACATCTTTTATGATTGATACCTTATTCGTTCTCTTTATATTTTCTCCTAACCATAGACCGAAAAGTATAATTTTACCTGCCTCACTCACGCATTCAATACAACCAAACGGAGAGTAAGAATATCAACGATTATTGCTACATTCATCCTTTTCTAAAATGGCGTTACTTAATATCGACGTTTCAGCAACACCAGTTAGTATAGTAGCTTATTCGTTTATTGGTATAACATATCTAGCAATTCTATATGGTATATATGGTGCTCTATTTACTTTTTTTCAATTTCTTCGTGTTGGTCGAAAACGCTTTTTTCAACGAGTCGATCGGCCATCACCACCATCGAAAGCAATGGATCCCATTTATGGTAATCATGAAATGATTAAATTAAAGGTATTCAGATTTTTTTTTTTATTCTTTCGTCCTTGAAATAAATTTACTCAATTTATATGTATAACATCTTTTAGTCTTCGGGTATATCACTTCATTATGTATCAAAAGGTTTACCAAATCAACGAATGTTATTATTTGTTCATGGTTTTCCTGAATGTTGGTATTCATGGCGAAATCAAATAAAGCATTTTTCGAAAAAGTATCGTGTTGTTGCTATTGATCAACGTGGTTATGGTCTTAGTTCGAAACCACCTTTTGTTTCTGATTATCGACTTGAAGCATTAGCTGGTGATGTTGCTGATGTTATTGAACAACTGGGTAAAAATGAAAATTTCTCATTGAAAATATTTGTTTATCGAATTGTTCTTCGTTTTTCTATTGTTCTTTAGGTTATGAGTCATGTGTTTTAGTTGGTCATGATTCAGGTGGTTATGTTGTATGGGCAACTGCAGTACTGTAGGTTTAATGAGCTTAAGTGTTTTATTTACTTTGTTTTTGATTTTTGTTTAATAGTTATCCTCATTTAATTGAGAAATTGGTTATCATGAATTGTCCACATCCAGGTGCTTTTCGTCGAGAATTAACATTAAGTCAAATTCATCGATCATGGTTTGAATAACATATTGTTTTTAATTATGATTATTTTATATTTATAATTACAGGTATATATTTTTCAGCCAAATTCCATTTTTACCAGAACTGTCATTTCAAGCAGATGATTTTTCAATTTTTAAAAAAGCTTTTCATGAAAAACCAACTGCATTAGTTAATAAAAACAATATTACAGATGAAGATATTAACGTATATAAATATACATTTTCTCAAAAAGGTGAAATCTATTTATATTTAATTTATATATCTTTCATTTTCTATATCAAAATAGGGACAACAAAAGCTGCCCTCAATTATTTTCGTGCTTTATTTCGTTATCAAAATCACTTTTCAACAGTACAAATCACTGCCCCAGTCTTACTTTTATGGGGTTGTCCAGATCCAACATTAAATGAAGGTCTTGCTGATGCTAGCCAAGCATTTTGTTCTGATCTTCGAATAAAAAAAATTCCTAATGCATCACGTTGGATTAATCAAGATTTACCGGATGCTGTTAACAAATATATTGAAGTTTTTCTTAATGAAACTCCTGACATTGAAGCACCATATGATTTTTAAAACGAACAATTTTTGTTTTGTTGTAGTTCATTGTTCTGAAGAAAAAATTAAGCTCTATTAGAATTTTTTAAAAAATTTATTTCCATACATCTTGTATGTGCATCATTTAAAAAAAATATATAGATTAGTAGACATTGATTATCAAGCAATTCTTAATAAAGTCAGAAAAAGAAGAACAAGTGCTATCATACATACAGTCTACAAAAATAAATCTATTCTTTGCATATTTGTCATGTCCTATAAATATAAGATTGTCGGATAAGAACTCAACTTCTAGTAATCATATACCATATTGTTTCGTACTACGTTCATTTTATTGATATTATTTATTGTTCTTGATATATTGATTGGATTCTTTTTATAATAGCAACATCGAAGAATGATGCTACGGACAAAAAATTTCATTTCGATAAGAAAAAAAACAAATTAACCAAGTTAAAACGTTAGTATGATTTTTGAATATTCATTCATTATATTTTGCCAATTACCTTGATAGGTCTATGTTCAGTAGCCAAAAAAACGATTTTATTACTATTTAATAGCAAGTGAATTTAAATCGTTTATATATGGTAGATATCACGAAAATAAACAATTTTCCATGATTGATCAAATGTCAAAAAACAAGCAGTGTGAATTCATTTTTATCAACCAATTGCACATTTGACCTGTACTGTTTTTTCTACAAGGTTTTTTTTTATATAGTTCTCCTTGTAAATTGACTCGGAAAAATTTTTACACTGCATGATTAAGCAATGCTCTAATTTTTGTGTTTCCTGTCAATGCGATCTTACGCCTCGAATTTCTACTGATTAACATATAAGTACTTTTTATGAAGAGTTCAAAACAAAACACAGTTATTCTCTATAAAATTTCCGTCTGCGAGTTATGTCATTTTATTTTTAGTTTATTCATACACTTTTTTACCTCAAATAAAAAGACGCTAGTGGGTATTAGGGGCGTGACGTTCTCCTGATTTCAAAAGTTGAAGAGTTTATTTGTAAAGCACTCTTCATGCAAACTTTTTGAAAACTTTTTAATTTAATGATAAGTTCAGAATCAATTCTAAATGATACAAGTCCTTATTAGGCATCTCGAGATGATAAAATAAAACCACTGCAAAAATAATCATAGATATAGTTTTAGATATGAAATCTATCCTAATATTCTGGAACTTCTCCGTTATAAGATTTGAGAGTTATTTCGTTGATTAACTTTCAATGAATTAATTAATTAAGCCTAATGCTTCGTGTTTGCTGATTTTGCTTAAATAATAAATATAATTCTTCAATATGCATCAGCTGACATTCATTTGAAGTTTGATGGAAATGATCTTATCTGATAGAGAAAATATTTCTGAGCAAAACGAGATATCTCGTCTCTCTTCATGATCTTCCTTCATCGAACCATATACAAACTATAGAAAGCGTCAAACTATAAACAGAAGCGAGACATCTCATTTTGCTTGCAATTATTTACTCTATTAAATAAAAGCCTTTTCAAAAAATTACAAATGAATGTCAGAAAACTGGTTTTGAGGATCTTGTTTTTTTTCCTAATATTCTCATCTAAACAGTTTTATTAGTGTTTTTAGGTTAAGAGACCTCGATAGAGAATCCTTTTAACTACTCAGATGATTTTTTTTCAAACGCATCTTAGCTATTACCATCGAGAAGAAAACTCAAAAATATAACTGCTGTAGACTTTTCTTCACCACTGTAAATGCAATTTATACCAATCAGAGATGAAACTGATACCGATCTGACCAGTCTAAACCGTCTTAGACCGGTCTATATTTTTCACTGTCCTGCTCTATGACGATATTCGCATGAAAAAACAACTGGCACCAAGACTAGTTCCACTGATCACACAAGAATTTATTTAACACACAGTTTTCAGAATTCCCATCAGTGAGACTATTGTTATCAACGGTGAAACATTATGTCAGTATGCGTGAAAGTACGAAGGTAGCTCGCAAGAGAGTTCACTATGAAATAAAGTTTCATTTCAAGCCTCACCCTGTTATCTGTAGATCGATGGTTTGTTGGCAGGCCGAACTTTCTCTTATAATAGCATGTCTCGAAATCAAACGGCTTTCCTTCGAATATATTTAATAAATTATCAAATATTTAGATTAATTAACAGATGCTACTAATGAATGTATTCTTGATTAAATCAAAACCACTTTAAGTTGCACATGATATTTACTTATAAATAAAAATGGCAATACAAATGAATCGTGATACTTTTTTTCCAGATAAATCATAGAAGAACTATCTATCTTGTTACATGAAAATAATAACCTTTGTCGTATATACATACATACAAAAAAAAAAACATTGATATCTAAGTTAATACACAAAAAGAAAATATTGAGAATATCTAGTCAATATCGTCTGTAGATGATGATGGATAATAATTTAAAAATGTCATAACTGTTTCATTATCATCAAATTTAATTTTTTTACATTTGTTTTCAAATGGTAAAGGAATTGGTATTGGTTTAATTGTTAAACATTTGGAATCATAATTAACAATTTCTTGTCGAATGTCAGTTTCTTTTGATTTTTGTTCATATTCATCAAGTAATTCCTATATGTATATTTATATAGAAAAAAAAAGAATTGAATAATTAATTCAACATTTTATCTTACTTGAGAACGATAAATAATTAATTTATCTTTTTCTAACATTCGAATCATATTTAATGATGCTAATGTTTCAATAATATCACATGTTGAAATTGATGTTGCTTTACTAATATCTATTAATAATTTATAAGTAAATGTTAATGTTCAAAATGAGATTACAGCTAATCTCGAATTAAAACACTTTTAAGAAAGATTCCATAAAAGTTGTTCTTCCATAGAAAATTCTCTATAATTTCATAAATTCTAATTTCTGTTCTCCATCGATTGTACTTTCGTTTTATTACAGTTCATTGACAAGAAAGAACGAAGTATATTTCTCCCTTGCAGTATGAGATGTAATAGTTCTATATCTTTCCTACAACTAACTTCAGCTTTAGCTTCCCATAGATACTAACTAATTACAAGAACAGGTTTACGTCATCATACAGTCAGTATTCTATTGAACAGATGATTCGGAACGAAGAGTCTGTTAGTGACTTGCTCCAGGTTATTGCATAGAAGATAATATCAAGGTTTGAACATAGTACCTGGTAGATACATGTCAGACTAAGTAACTACTCACGGTCAGCTATGGTCACCTTTCGCCGAAATAAAACGCGTCTAATCTTGAACTCAAAAATATGTCCTGTTATTTCAATGTGGATAGTGACATAAATATAAGCGATATCGAACACACGAACCATTGATAGCAATTTGTTCATCATTTGTTTTTGTTAAAAGATAATCAAATATTTTTGATTTCCAATATTTTCTATAACATAATAAACCTTGTGTTGATAAAGGACGTTCCGGTGTACCTGTATGTATATTAGCCAAACGACTAAGAGCATAACCTATTAAATATTTTTATTTAAAAAGAAAAAAAAGAAAAACTAGAAAATAAAAATTAAAACCTTAACTTACTAATATGAACCATTAAACTTCCAAAACCTCGATTACGATAAGGTGGTAAAATTAATAAACATGAAAGATTAAGTCTTTCTTGAAATTGTAGTTTAGAAAAAAAACCAGCAAATTCATATTGATTATCATTATGACAAACAGTCAAAACATAGAAACGAAAACGATGAACATTTTTTATTTCAACTTTACTTTCAATAAATAATGTTGCAAGAAGACATAAATCTTCACAATATGTTTTAGTTTTCCAACCACATACTTCAAATATATTAACATCTTTTTGTGTATAAATTAAACAACCTGGTGGACGTGTTTGTGTACATTTTGTCTAAACAGAAAAAAATGAAAAATTTCAAAAAGAAATTTATTATCATACACGATGTCGTCTTGCTGATGTTGCTTGAATCGTTGTTTTTAAACAATATTCACAAACATAAATTTTTTCAACTTGAAGCCATTCTTTTGGACATAATGTTGATCGACATACTGTTTCAAATTCATATCGACCAGTTTGAATCCATGGACGAGCTTTATTTGTAGTTGATGTATTATTTATTTTACTAGTATCGTTAGTCATGTGCTTCGAAATTTGATCTAGAATAATAAATAAATTAGACGAATAACATTCGAATTCATTTAGAATAACAAATATTTCATTGCTAACTAAATAACAATCTATTGAAACTAATCGATAGCATGATACGTTCATGTTTTTAATTTTCTCGGAATGTCATAGGTCTCGAAATGGAATGCGCTAATCTCTCCAATATTTGCCATCCAGTCTATGAAAATTTCAATCGGTTATCAAAAAAATTATCTGTCAAAATTTTTCGCTCCTGTCACCTCTCAAAATTATCGAGATTCTTGGAAATAGTATCATACATGATAACAAGATGTTACTGATATTCAGTCTGTGTTGCAAGTCGGGAAGGTTTAAATTTTAACTTCTACATTCGTTTATAGATTGTATTTTCTTCAAATAAAAAGTTTGTTTTTAATAAACCAATAATGTTTATTTACAAAAAAACCAATAACAAGAAAATATTTAAAAAAAAAATACATATGTATATAAATGTGTCATGATCCTTTATTTTTTTTTCTCATTGATGTTGAATTATTATTTGATTTATTATCTTCATCTTCTTTTTCTTCTAATTCTATCCATTTATGTTTAAGATTATTTTCACCAATATGTTTTATTGATACTAAACGTTCTAATTCTTCATCATTAATAATACGTTTTAATTCAGCTAAATGTCTATGTGTTGATATATGTAATAATGGTCGTAAATGTTCAATAATATATTTAGCATCTTTATCATAATCATTTTGTGCCCGTAAATAAGATAATGTTGTTGAATAAGCAAGACATTCAAGTGCACGTAATTGTGCTCGTTTTTGACGACGATTTGACATTCGAGACATAATTTAGAAAAAAAAAAAATCACAATGAAATCTACAATAAAGAGAAAATCATCAATTTTATTATTCAAACATACAATAATATTGAAAACAGAAATACAAATAGCAATTTCGTTACAACTACAATATGTTCATTATATATATAAATAACTGAATATCATTTAACTAGTATTAATTTTATCTATATATATACGTTGAGTTTGAACGATACCAGCTAATATAACAAGAATCCATGTAATAACAATAAGAATAAAATAAAACTAAAAAAAAAAAATATATATATATTTTAGAGAATGAATATGATAATATGAACGACAAAATTTTTGAACATACGAAATTAATCCAATTACGAACATAACGTCGAGAAAGATTAGTAAAATCAAGCATATTTTATAGAAGATTTAGCGATTTTTTTTTCTTGACAACTACAAAGTAATATTCAATCTGATCAAAAGTAGTTCAAATAAACCAATAAAGAATTTCTAATTCTCAATGTTTCTTAGCAACATTAGATGTCGTTTATTTAAAAATAAAAAATAGCTCAACTATTTCTTAATAATCTAAAAATATTTATCAAGTAAAAAAGAAAATATTTTTCTGTTCAAACAAAAAAAATCTAATAAATTTTCTTATTACTAAACTGAAATGATTCATCATTATTCTAATTGGATCATTATACTACAAATAATTTCATTGATAAAAAAAAATGATTCATTCATTCAAACCAAAACTTGTGTTTATTTATTTCACAATCTTTTTTCGCATCAATCATGTCAATTAAAGCTGAATTACAATATCAATTAAAAGAAATCGGTTATGAACTTGGTCCATTCACATCAAAAGATACATTATCTATCATACGATGTCTTCATTCTGTAGTAAGAAAAAAAAACTAAACTTACAATTTTTTTTTCCATTATTTAACTTTTATTCATTAGGTATTACAAGAAAAAAATATCAATGTTGCAAAATTAAATGATCTTGAACTTCGAGCAAATCTAACTCAACATGGTTTTAAAGTTGGACCTATTACAAGTAAGAATTCTACAAAAAAAAGAAAAACAAAATTCATATTAATATTCATTAATTTTTAGATCATACTCGTGCTATTTATCAACGTAAATTACTTGAAGTATTAACTCATCAAACAACGAATGGTAAAGAAAATTTAATTTTTAATCATCTTATTATTATTTTATTTATTTAGGACAAGACGATGAGTTTGAAATTGATGAATCAATTCATCAAACTGAATATGATATTAATGAAAATAGTAGTCTCTATTCGAATTCACAAAATTTTAAAAATACTAAACCGATAATTATTCGACATGATTATAAAGCTACTTCATCATCAAGAAATATATCAAAACGAAATACTTATGAGTAAATTAATTTTTTCTTTTTGTTAAAACTAAATTAAAAAAAATTTTTTTCCTTGATTAGAGAATCAAATGAAATACGACCACGTATTTCAACTAAATCCAATGAAATTAAGAAAGATATTACATCGAATAAAATTAAAAATGATAAATTAAAAATTGAAAAAAAGAGTAAATATTTATTTTTTCTATTTTTATTCATTCATAGAATTTATTTTATTTAGGTAATGGTACATTTGTTTATGCTATTATAACAATTGTTGTTGCTATTATTGTATTTTTTGCTTATTTATGGTTTGAAAAATGACATTCAATTTCCAATTTGTTTATTCGTTTTTAATAATGATTGTATACCAGTGTTTCAAACTGTTTTAATTTGTATTTTTGTTTTAATCGAAGAAGAAAATGAATAAATAAATATATGATGAATTATTAATCGATATTTATGTTAACAAAATAATCTCACTTGCTATTCAATATTATAGAAATCTAAACGAAAGAGAAAAAAGATTTTCCATGTTGAGATTTCTTATCATTGAAATTAATAATCCTTTTATAATATCTTTGTTTTATTCCCATAATAAGTCTAATTCTGACATACCGAAAGTAAGTAGTGGTATGAAACACAATATAGCTGCTCTTAGTAATCGTAAGCAGAGTGATTTGTATATTATAATAATATGTTATTGATGTACAGTCTTTAATCGTATATCAACATTATCTGTCATGGTCTGTAAAGAGAAAGTCAAAATATCATCTTCGGAGGGTTTGACAATCGTTTGAATGAAACATTTTGAAAGAAAAATGATAAAGAGTTTACATAAATCTTGTGTAGTGTTTAAAAAAATAATTCGGTTGTAAAGATTGTCACAAAAAAATGGTTTATTGTCATTGTTTTTCACAGTATGTCTCAATCGAATTTCTTCCTATTGTTTTTCTTGGCGAGCACTATTTCTATTTGCTTTTCTTTGATTATCAATATACAGCGAGAAAATACAGACTTCATTTTATCTCATGACATCTTAATTATAGATAACAAGTTAAGTTCAGAAAATACGATAAGTTATATTCTTTTACTTCAATGTACCACCAAAGTGAATTGCAAGTTTTTTTTGCATCTTGACGTTATTTTAATTTTTATTGACACATAGAAATTCAATTATTGTTAATTCCGAAAGACAAACAATTTACATTAGCTTGAAACTAGGGCATTTGGTGTTACGACCGGAATCGAATATCACTAAAGGAACATTGATTGTGCTCTTTTTTGATACTAATTGCCTAGTCTCTTGACATTGTTTCGATTCAACACTTGTTCATTTAACATAGATATGTATTATAATCGTGACAGACATTATTACTTTCAAGAAGCCAAAGAAGATAGTTTGTTAATTAACTGAATAAAAGCTACATTCATTAAACACTTCAATTAATCAATTTTCGTTTTTGTTGTTATTGTTTTAACAGTGTCGCTAAGTGTTACAATAAATTGCTGAAAGTCAGTTATTGAAACCAGAAAATTTTCTATCTGAAATCTTCTATTCAAATCAGAAGATTTGTTTTAGTTCGCTAGAGCATTAGTGGTAGCAGCTCGTGCTCGATTGACTTACACTTCTAATTCCAGATAAAAGTATGTAATTAATAGATAAATGTTAACCATATTCATATCTGATATGTTGTTATGTTCCTAAAGTATTGCTCTGTCAAATTGCAAATTTCTCTACTTTTTATTTTATGTAATTATTGCAACATATATTTATAATAGAATTAATAATTGATCTACTAATATGAAATGAATACACAACTAATAGGTTCTCATAGTTTGTTTTTGTTGTTCTTTCACTTTCTTTTCCCTACAATAATATGTGCAAAAATGCATGTGATTTTGCTCACTGTTAATTGAGAAATAAAATTGTTTATAAAAATTTTTGTTCAAAATACATATTTCAATGCCGAATTAAAGCGAATAATAGACATATTTACCGTTTACCAAAATAACAACTTTTAAATAGTGAAAACAAGAAATACAAAGTTTTATCTACAGTGAGCATAGGATTCGAAGAAAAAAAAATGAATTATCTTTTCTTTAATAATATTTTCTAAATGTGATATTGCCAATGATAGAATATATGAAATTGCATCCTAATCTATTTTTTTCAATGTAACCAATTTTTTTGTTTCGAATAGAACTTGAAAAGAAAGAATTCAATTGTTAACAAAAGCCTAAGGGTTTGTTTTTGAATGCATGCATTCAAAAAGAAAAAAAAAAGAAATTCTCATTTGTAGATGAAGCATTCTAGAACTATTTCTCTTCTAATATCGTTTTATTGGTGTATCATCTACTGCTTATAAATCAATACTGTTTGGTTTTACCAAAACTATTAAAAATAATTCTACATTATAATAGATAGAGAGTCAATATTTATTCTACGTAGAAATTCTATGTTTATTCCTAAAGATTAATTTTGCAGTCTATTCACACATATATAATATTTATGTTGTATAGAAACAATAAAATGACGATTCGGATATTTTTACTAATGTGTTTGCTCTTCTATTTTATCTCTAGTTGTTTTTTCTATTTCTAAGTGTGTAATTAATTTTATTTCTATTTGATTTTATGCAAAAAGAACGGAGAAAAAAAAAAGTGAACAGAGTTTTCGAACATATCCTGAAGAAAAGAATACACTGAAGAACAATTAAGAAAGCATACTTGAAAGTGTCACATTAAATGCTGGAGAGAACGCATGATGCATGAACAGTTACTTACAAAAGTCTGAGTTGCCATTGGATGTTTACGTAAATGTTGTTTCTTTTTCAGTTCTCCACATAAGCAAAAAGAAATGCAGAGAATTGATGAAAGCTTATGTTATATTGTCAATAAATATATTGAAACAGAGAAAAAAAAAGTTTCAGTACACGTCCGTTTTAACGAAACATACTATTCCAAAGAAAACAGTAGTAATGTATGATAAAACTTCTTGATTTTTTTACCAGATAAGGTGTTGAACTTTTCTATTAGCACATATCATCGATAGAAGGTAAATGTTATGCATATAAGTCTTGCAATCACATTTCTATCATCGTTAACATATCATTCAACTAAACAAAAGCTTATTTTAGAATAATGAAACTTGGAAAATAATATTTTGAATTTGATGCATATTATTCAAAAAGTAAATAACCAAGTATGTTATTTAAACTATTTCTAAAAAGTTCACTGAGTTTCTTATTTTTTTCTACATTATTTTACAAAACAGGAAATAATAAAGTGACTCTATCTCTCTCTAGAATCTAAGACACTTTTTTTGAGCTATTGGAACTTATAGAATTCAAAGAACCACTTTGAAGTTAAAGTAATCATAAAATTTCACGATAGAAACTAGTGAGCCTTGGTTATAAAAGAAAGTAAAAAAAAACAAGTCTTGATGCATTTCAATATTTTTGACATGTATGAGAACCTTGAATAAAATATAATTTTTCAGAAACCATTGCTTTTAATATAGAAGTTTATATAGGAGAAGTTGAATGAATTACCCAGGTCGAATTCACCCTGTCGAATCCGATAGAAATTCGCCGGAATTTGTCGGAATCCTAACCACAGGATTCCGACAAGTGGTTCTGGATGTCGGAAAGTGTCGGAGTTTCAGGGATTTCGCAGGATCCTGATTATTCCGACATCCGGAACCTCCTGTCGGAATCCTGTGGCTAGGACGCCGACAACTTCCGACGAGTTCCCGTCGGATCCGTTAAAATCCGGTAATTTTTCCGATTTAATCCGATATAATCCGACGTAATCCGACAGTCGGATCGAATCACCTGGGTAATCGATTGATAGAACAATTGTTTGGCTCTGAAAACTTTCCTAGTTCATAGTTTTGGTCACATCAAGAGAAATTTTCTAATTTCAATGAAGTCAAGTTTTCCACAATCATGAATTTGACGTTTTATATGAAATTTCAGGAAGCCTAATCAATCGTTCGTCATTCATATAAATGTTTTTTCTTTGTCAAAACGTGTGTAACTTGCTTTCGAAGTTTATATGCATAATTGTGCAGCGCCTGTTCCATTAGTAGGTTGTATAATTAATTAATATCGTATGTACATTCAGTCGTATGATCTGTTCCTTGTAATATTCTAGACCGAACAGTCGTTGCATGCTTTTTTTGCATGTACTCTACATGATTCATTGGATTCTGAGAGTTCGATGAGTCAAAATTTACAACATTCGATCATTGTTGATTAGCTATTATGATTAACAATGAATCTGCAGATATATTTATTTTTTTAAATAAAAAAAAAAGTCTCATAAATATGTTCAAGACCAAATTTTACGTAGGAAGAATTCGTTTTTAATTAGATGCAAAACTACGAACTAATTTTCTTTTACTTGAAAATAAATTCTAAATTTTGTTTGCATCAAGAAACCAGTACGATCTTATTTTTCTAAATTAGTCTGGGTATTCATTTTTATTTTATTTTTATTTTTGATCGGATCATACTGAGATAAACTAGATTCCAAGTTAAATAAAATACTGACGAACTCTATGACTTATTAAGTTTAACAAAACCTAAATTAAAGTTGAATTTAGCTTAAGAAAAAAATTTATAATTGATATAAAACTTTATAAAAGAAGTGAAATAGTTGATTTAGACAAGACTTCTTCACAAAATAAAGACACAATGACTCATAAATAAAAATTTTATTGTTTTCTCTAGAATTTTTTCTTTTAATGAATTATAAAAAAAAATTAGTTCAAAATTTACTAGGAATGCTTATAAACCATATATAGTCGACTCTACTATTTAGACCACAAAATTAATTTTCTATTTCATTAGTACCCACATTCATTACTTACGCTTTAATATCATAAAGTGTTCACATCAACCATTTGCTCATCTGAGATCAATACTTTAAAAACAACAATATTTTCGTCAAAAACTCTCATCAACCATTCAATGTCGCTATGTTCCCAAGATAAAAAATTTATTTTTAAACGTCTAATAACTAAATTTTTTTTAAAATAAGACTCTATGTTCCATCTTTGAATATTGTTGCCATTCACAGAGCAATAACAGATTTGTGTGTAAGACATAACTATAGTTTCTGCTGCAATTTATATGGATCATGTTAGCTGACGGTATTGAGCATGATCAGGAGAGGCTTTCAGAAAGTTGGAAGAAACTCGGCATGTGACATACTGCTATTCCATTGGATAGCAAACTTTTGCGAATTGCAATCATCATTGTAGCGATGAGAGATCGGAAATTCCAGACTTTTGGTATCTAAAACTACGATAGACAAACAAAATTTTTGGAAATTTAGATGTGATATGACTTGATTAATATACTGGTTGCTCATTTTAGTAACGTAATGGTTTTGGAGAAGCAAGAACTCTTGAAAGCCATCCTTATATTTAATCTTATAGCATGTCTTTTGTTTTTAAGCCAACTGTTGATAGCAATCTTCTCTTTTAAAATCAATCTTAAATTTCTCAACATGGGACAGTTTTTTGCCTGTCACTCTTCTTTGTCGTGTTTTCTCTTGAAGATGGATCAAATACTTTTCTTTGCCATCATTCATATCCATAGTATGAGAGTATCAATATGCTCAGTAGCCTCTAAAATATTCTCAAAAGTTTCACTAACAATGGAGGTATGTGTGTTGATAAGTGAAAAGATGGCACATATTCGGGTCAAACGAAAGCTCTCATCGCCAAACTCACAAGTTTAAAATATTAGCGGCTGTTGGCTTGCTTAGAGGGAGATATTTAGATTTTAAATTTAGGTATAAAAATGAATCAGGAAAGGTTTTCTCCACTATTATAAGGACAAAATATAGTGTTGTTCGGGCGATTATGGGGTTTGTAGGGTCTCTCTTTTATATGGCTCGAGCAACACTGTTTTGTCCTTATAATAGCGGATTGAATTTTCCTAGTGGTTGATAGAAAAAAGCTGTTTCCATGAATTACAGGAAAAATTCACCTTACTATTATAAGGACAGAACATAGTGTTGTTCAGGCCATATGAAAGAGAGACCCTACAAACCCCATAATCGCCCCGAACAACACTATATTTTGTCCTTATAAAAGTGGAGAAAACCTTTCCTGATTCATTTTTATACCTAAATTTAAAATCTAAATGTCTCCCTCTAAGCAAGCCAACAGCCGCTAATATTTTAACCTTGTTAGTTTGGCGATGAGAGCCTTCATTTGACTCGAATATGTGCCATCTTTTCACTTATCAACACACATACCTCCATTGTAAGTTCTTGAAGGAAGAATATCTCGTTTTCAACTCTTTTCCCAGTGGTTGTCTGTTCTATTTTGATCAAGATTCTTTCTTTTTATTTTAGTGATTCGAAAAAATTGCAGCTAATTTTCGATGAAAACAGAATGCTGAAATCCATGGACGGGCTGATAACGTCAGTCAATCTAACTATCCTCAAGGCCTTGACATCGACAATGATTAATATAATTGTCACCCCTGATTATAGCAAATACGGTATCATCCGACGAAAGTTGGATGACACAAGCGAAGAAGTGGTGACCATTTTTATGTCGTCGATTGAGGAGAATTGAATAGGTTCCATAACATGATTCTTTGTTTTCTATCTAAAGTTACGATGAGTCAAAAACAAATAGCTATTTAAATAGAAATGAATTTCATTTCTATTTTAAGTGTCAGCGCTTTGATGGTTCGGAGATCGTGCACCAACTAACCAGGCTCACACACGTGGCATGTATGAGTCTGAATTGTTCGTCGTACGAAACGAGCACAAATATAGTTTCCTGGAGAAGATTTAGAGATCTTCTCAGGTGTTAGTATGAATGAGAATAAGAAGCTTCTCTATACTCACTCACGTATGTCAACACTCATACTAATTCCCTTCCGTTGAATAGAAAGATCTTTATCATTTTGTTCTTAGAACACACACAGACAGTGAACTAAGTATCAGATACTCGGTCATACTATCTTTTTTCGCTTGTCTAGATAATATTGTCGAAACATTTCATTATTTTATGGTATTCCTGGTCACAATCAATTGTAACCGTTCTACATAATGCGGTCTATTAAGCTTTCCACTTATCTACGTCGACTTTTATATACATTATTATTGGGTTCATTAGTCAGTATCTATATTAATTTCAATCGTTCAACTTCTAATATTAAAAATGATCCATCACTAGAAGTTAATAATATTTCTCTTTGCCTTCCATGGCAATCAATCAATCATCAACCATTGGGAACTAATAGCTGTTTACCGTACAAACGTATAATCAGTTCCGTATGGACTCACGATGGTACTGGAATAATGAAATATATTCAATGGATAGTTACACGAAAACTAGGAAATGTTCGAATTTTAAGATTAAATGACGAATGTGAACTTATTCAAGAGAATAATTTTTTTTTCGACTCAAAAAATGATAGATTTGTTCAGATTTACATTGTGTCTCTTACAATGAATTTCAACAACACTTCAATATGTTCAACGAATCTTGTTCAAATAATACAATTCGGTTTACAAAAGATCAATCAAATCTATTTTAAAAGAAGATCAATTGAAGCAACAGTTGCCTATCATCATTTAGACCAAATACGACAGAATCATAATTTTACTTTCAATTGGAATGTATCATTTAACATAAATATTCAAAAAGCCAGATTTGTTACTGAACATCTTATAAATTATTTCAAAAATGAACTTAATACAAAATCAACAATCATCAATTCTGAAGAAATGATTCATTCAAATTTGAATGATACTGAAAAAAAGTTATCAGATTTCATCTCATTACTAGGGTTTAATACATCAACACAAACTTTCAAAGATATACTTCAGTACGATTGTTATCAATTTGTTCAAGATGCTACTTGGTGGGATCAATCAGAAACAATTGAACATATTCTATCAACATCATTAAATCCTAATCTAGCAACTATGGATAAATCAAATGATTTCTATCATTTACATGGAAACTATTCGTTTTCAAAATACGTTTCGGATAGTCGTCAATGTTTCAATGATGGTACTTTTTTTCAAATGCAATGTGAAACGATACCTAATCGATTTTCAACTGACAAACCAGAACGATGTTCACTTAAAAAGTTCGATTGTGCTTTTAGCGATATATATTCATTTAGTGATCGCGAACAACTCTATCAATCGTATGCACCAAATAATTATTTTAATACAAATCCTATTAAGTGTGGTTTTGCCATTCAATCGATACTTGATACAGTTAGAAATCGATATGAACGCAATGATAAGTGTCAAATTATAGTATTTACTTGTATTACAAACTGCTATGATGCTTTACCTATTATTCAAGATAGAGTACCGCCAGGGACTTGTTTCGTTGCACTACTTGATACAAAAACGATGGATGCATTTAAGCGACAACACCCCGCAGGAGCATATCCAATGAACGGGCAAGCCCAATGGGATTTTATTGATTTAGGACAAGGTGGTTCGCTATTTCGTGTTGCTGCTAAAGTAACAGAAACAGTAAAAATGCTCGGACACCGAATGTTTCCTATGGCTAAATGGTTTGTTTGGCTCGATGGTAAAGCATTTATAATCAATATTAATGAAATCTTATCAATAGCGACGACACCAATAATTGGTCTTCATCATCATGATTTCAATCGAACATCAGAGGCCGAAGTTAATCTCACAATTGCTCGCGTGATACTTCGCGAAATAAATAATGTTGTGCAGCTTAATAATACATTGCAAGAAATAGAACTTCAACAGGCCGAATATAAACGAGATGGTTTTTATTCTCGTTCGAATGCAATCGGATTACCAATGTTTGATATTGCAATATTCATATATAGAAATAATCATCCGTGTTCATTTCGTTACTTATGTGGATGGCATAATGAAATCAATTATTTTTCGTATAGAGGTCAATTATCAGTGTATTATTCTGCTGAAAGACTGAATCTGAGCAGTTACTTAGGTTTTATTCCACGTAGACTTTATCATACTCTAGGTCATCGTACTGTATGCTAAAAATCTACCTATTTATTGTAATTTACTCCTATAGGTTACAGAACAAAAAGCTAGCATAATAGATAATGATTCCACATCATCATTATAACTTTTTTAATTGCGGCCTATAGTACCTATCAACCTGGTGATGGAGTACAGATTTCGAGCTGTGGATGAGTGTGAATGTGAAGTGCGGGAGGTTGCGGTATGATTAGAAAGGACCTACACTAGAGTTTTGCCAGAAAAACTTCCACATATGTCGAACTCCATTAGTTCGACTCCAAAAGTCCATCTTGAACTTTTGTTTTTGAATTGTTTCATGAAATTTCAGTTTTAATTTAAATTTTTCAGCAATAATGACTGTATTTTCCGCAATCCTTTACTGCATTATATGCTGCGATTAATTTATAGTTATCTCAAGTGATCTTTGAAAAACTACATATTTTCTCTCATTATTTGGTAAAGTCGAAGTCATTTTTACTCATCATTTATTCTTGTGAACAGAATCCACAGACGCATAGTCATCAACGCCATCAAAATCAAAGTACAAGATAATATTGTCCAGATGGCCAAGTTGGTCATTGATAATATTCTTCCATTCTATAAGAATTTCAAAATCCAATGCGTGATATTGTTTGAAAAAGTATTTTGGCGATAATCATATGATGATTATTGTCCTATGCGAGTTAATAAAGTTGTGAAGATGTAAAAAAGGATGATCATTGAATTTTTACATATTCTCTCAATACAAGCACAAGGATGCGTAATAGGCTAATAAAAATTTTGAAAAATCCTCTGGAAATATATTTATAACACTCGCTAATAACTGTATCCGTTTGTCATCCTACCTAGAGAAGTAAACATTATGAAGATCATACGATTTATTTCATAAATACTGCAATATTTGTCTCCTTCTTTACTACTGTCAAAGCAATAGTTATCTGAATTATAATTATATCAGTCGAATTGAATCTTTTCTAATTCCAATGAAATTTCCATATAAAATTTATTTTCATCGGGGACTTTCAGTTAATACATAACGATCTTTTGTCACATGAACATTTGTGAAGAACAAATGACAGTGGAGTAAACACAAAGCAGCTCAAATTCGCCGAATTAAATAGCGATGAACCTATAGCCAATATTTTCATTTTATAAATTATTAGTGGATTGCAACAATGTTTTCATATTTGATATCCAGAAGATTTCACTTATGAATAGTGTTTGATTTACTAAGTATAATATACGCATTCATAAACGTCTCAACTTCCGTCAATCTTTCAAAGATACTTATTTATTCAATATTTTTTTGACATGATCGACGTTACTTTCAACAATACATAATTGTTTTGTTCGATCAAATTATTGATATAAATATTGATGTCATCGAATAATGATGAAATGCACAAACACCAGGCAAAAGCTTGTCGAATCATAACGGAAAGTTGAATTAAAGAAATATGATTAATATATACAAAATAGAAAAAATAATGAAGATAAAATGAAAAAAAAATTTGAAATAAAAACATAATTATATAAGAGTAGGAATAAATTTAAGAAAAGCTAAAAAAAACAAATATATATAGAGAAAATATGTATAATCCGAAACATCAACATAGAAAAAGAACGAAATCAAAGATTTTTAATACTACCAAATTCAATGCTGTATTAATATACATAGTAGACATCTTGGTTTGCACCAATCTATACATACTGAAGAAAAAAACCACAAGGATGTCACTAATCACGCTTTAATTCTACGTAACAATGATGGATTATCAATTCTACATTTTGTGAAAACTAACTGTGAAGATTCTAATCCTACTGTTTTCTTTGGATCGAAACTCAATCTAAAGTCATTCTTGACATCAGTTTTTGAAAAATACTAAGTAGTGCTGCGATAGCAAGTTGTATTTGGTAATTCAGATACTCATGAGTTTGTCTGTATACATATTAAATTCATTAAAATTAACCTGACTTCATTTAATGAGAAGGTTTTGGTTTTCTGATTAACTCATCATTTAGCTGTCTTATACCTTGTTCCTTAAGAAGAGTTAAAATTTCTTTAATGACTTGTTTACTAACAGTACGGTGAAGATATAAAATCTGATCCATTGATAAAATTTCTCGATCTATTTCTGAGAGTTTTTTTAGAAGTTTGTTATGAACATTCTGAATAATAAAAGTTATTTCATAGATTTTATTCAGAGTGCCAAAAATCCTTATGTTCATGTTTGTTGATCCTAATATTCTATCTATAATTGATAGAATACTTTTGTATCATAAATCATCAATAGAATCTCACTGTTCACGCCGAAAACTATGCTCTGCATTAATTTTTTTTTAACTTGTTGTTTATTCATCAAGTCGATTGCATGCATTATACGCACTATTTCCAACAAATTAGGTTCTCAAAACTTAGTATTCACATTGTTCTATATTGTTTGCGGTATTTGCGGTGGCAACTATCATCTTGCTTTCTCTACTCGTCTTACTTATGGCATACAATAGTGATAATCGAATCTTGCGATGCTCTTTATATCTTGTAAAACTATATATGCCGTGAGAGAGATGCCACATTTTCTAGTGCCATTTAAATTAACGATTGGCTATCGGGTGACTGCTGATCAGCAGTTCGTTGTATACATTCAATGTCAGAGCATCAGTCCTACTTGAGTAAAGATTGAACATTAAAATATTAATATAACTTAGACTCGTTAAATATGTAAAGAATTCAATAACAAGAGGCGTACTATACTTTATTCAAGAAAAATATTCAAAACACAGTCAAAATGAATCGATTTATTTGGGTACCATGCACTGTAATATCGCGGCAAATACGGAATCAGACAAAGATAATTTTCATATCTCCTCCAATGCATATTTTGAGCGATGATTACTTGGAATATAAAAATAGAAAAATGTATTTAAAAGAAAAAACAAAGGAGAGAAAAGTATATTCATGTTCTAGTATAATGAATCTCTTTTGTGTTTAGTATCGTTGGAATTTTTGGACTCGGTTATTGTTTGAATCCGTCACGTAAAGATTAAGTTGTTTGTCAAGTGCTATCGAATATGGCCGATAGAGTAGGTTAGGTGTATTACCAGGTGTCGCTGAGATACCGACGATAGTTGTTCCATTGGTTTGGCCAGCACGAAAAAACTGTATACGGTCATTGTTGCGGTCGGCTACATAAATGTTTCCCATTGGATCGAATATCGCATCTGTAGGGTATGTGAGCGTCATTGCTGTACTACCATATGAACCAATATATCCAGCAATAAGTGTCCAACCACTGGCACCTATAACCCACCGAACAATATTATGGGCACCATAGTTGGCAATCACTAGGCTGTTCGAAAATGAATCAAAATGAACTGCATATGGGGAATATAATTGATGAGATGACGTTCCTGATCCATTTCCACCGGCAACCAAAGTACCAATAGATGAATTCGAGGCATAGCTCATAATGCGATGATTATTGGTGTCTGCTACGTAAAGAATACTGGAGCTCGAGTCAAAATTAATACCATTTGGATAGGATAGTTGGCTGAGGGCAGAACCATTGGTACCTGAAATAGACATCAATAGATTTCCCTAAGAAAATAACAACTAATAATAATTATAATATGGTTGATGTTTTCTCCTTTCTTGAAAACGAGATTGTTGAAGTAATATCATGAAAATGATAGTTTCTTCTAGAAACCTTCAAAACCAAAGTAAAAGTACTCCAGGATTTGTTCTCACCTCTAGGATTTATTTATCAAAACCAAAACACAAAGATTTTTGTCCTTATTCTTCAGAATGTATTTCTCAAGTGGAAATGAAGGAAGGATGATCCTTCTACGTTCGAGATTTGGACTAGGAGATGGTTTCCATTAATGAGACTTTTGACAAGTTGTCTTCGTTTTCAGAGTGAAAAATACTTTAATCCATGGGTTTACAGACTAATTACAAGCCTGTTACTCATTACAATTATAGATTGGTTCAAAAGCTGCAATTTTGGATAATATCGACGCACAAGACAAGATTTCATACGTAATTTCTTTATAGATGCTGTTGAAATGAGAATGTGAATATTGTTTCTTAGTTGTACTACTCATTGTTGAAAAACTACTTCGAATTCGTCCATTATGGCCGGAATAATTGAGTACTTTAGAAATATGAAAGGTGTTTACGAGCTGTGGTGTAGAAGTCGGCGCATCACTAGTTACGGAATGACTCTTTGTCTCGAATCAAATCCATGAAAGTATAAAGCCTACATTGTAACACATACCGTCTCAGTGAATGCTATTGAGTTAGTCGACATCTATATAGGAAGCTCAAACTACTCAACGAAACATTTTCAAGCCAACCTGTCATTTTATCCGGATCTTCAACTAGTATTACTAATAATGAAGATATGAGACTCATGTAACTATCTAATGGCAATGCTGCAAACTATAAAGTAGTCAAAAGTCACAGGTATTCTACTCTCTAGTTAGAATGAACAATATCATTGGGCGTTTGAACAATCATCGCCCATCATTTTTCTCATTTTATCAGATCTCCTTTATGGTGCGAATGATGATCTCATTTCTACAGGATATGCATCCCCATCACCTAAACTAATTGAACTATATGCGTGTTTGTACGGCGAATATGTATGGGTAAGTGATGGCAAAATACATTCTGTAGAAGTATCACGAAGACAATATGGTTTGTAAGCTTCACATTCAAATGCTATCCTATTGAAAATGTATCTGACATTCGCTAGACTTCTCGGTGCCTTTCTTGTTCCTTACCGTTACCAGCAACAGTGTGTCCCGTGAATGCACCACTTGACCAAAGTTGAACTCGATGGTTGTTAGTGTCAGCTACGTACAGATTGTTATTCGAGTCAACAAAAATGTCACCCGGTTTATTCAACTCGTATGCCGCAGAACCTCCTACTCCATTTGCCTGACCAGCAACAGTAGTTCCCGTCGACTCACCGGTTATCCATTTCACGACTCTGTTATTAGACTGATCAGCAATATAAAGAGCATTCGATGAATCCAATACGATGTCACTGGGATCGTTTAGTCGATTAGTTTCAGTAGAACCTGAAACTCCAGTACCAGCCACAGTGGAACCTGTTGTATTCCAACGCAGTTCAGTTGAGGTATTCGCTGAAAAAACAATATAATCATCTCATAGTGATATTCAAGAATTACAAAAATCAGGATTAATTCGTTGTAACGATCGTTATATTCATCTAGACTTACACGAATACTCGCAACATCAGCAACTTCATACAGGACTATCTCAGGTAGTAGATCTTGGAAGTGATACGGTTTCTGGACTAAAGCTGACTTAGAAAAATTCGATTGAAGGTTGTAATTCCTTACTATTATGCTAGAGAACTTTTCGAAAGATGTGATTTTCCAAAAATATCTCTTTGATACACAGTATTCATATTGTCAGAGGTCTGATAGAGATAATTTTCGATAAGAGATGTCTTAAATCAGCAATATTTGATGAAACTAACTCATAGAAAAAAAAGTAACGACTATTACCTTGAATTTCACAGATTCGGTCAAGAAATAGTATTACATGTAATGAGCTCATTTATTTTTTCGATCTCGAAATGAAAAATAACATTGTCTGAATGTAGTTCGAACCTTCGGATAACAGTACAAATTTAATCAATCATATATCTGATCTTGAAACATGTATGATGCTCGTAATAAGCTTATCGGCGTCCTACCTTCAAAATATGATCTATACAGATCAGAACAAAAATTTTTTTATTCGATGCTTGAGCGGAGCCCTTGACACGATGAAAGGACTTAAAGCGCAATTTAAAAGAGATGAATACAAGAGATACAAAGTTCAGTCTTCCTTCTTACGTCTTAGAAATTCAAAAGAAATTTTTTATGAAAAAACGTGAACTTATCATCAGTTTTTTGTTTCTATCTTGACAGTGATTGCGCACGATGCTTACATGTTGTTTGTCCTGACTTATGAACTATTGAGTAAATGCTGATCGACAATGCAGCCACAGTGCCCAAAATAACCATGATGCCAACTACTATTGCGACAGTGAATAGCTTCGTATATGTAGTTTTATCTCCAACAGACTGAAGTGTTGAAGTTCTAGGAGAGAAAGAAAAGTGAAGACAAGTGTAGAGGCATGAAAAAAGAAAAAGTTAATTCAATGAAGGCTATTACTCACGAAGAATTTTCGAACAAAAGAATGTTAGAACGATCTGAATTGAATGATAATTTTAATGGCACTTCTTGACTTATATCGTTTTGCATTTTTTCTACTTTTGGCGATGGTGTTCGAAAGTGAGCAGATTGAGATGTTAATGGACGTAGTTCGGCAAGTGGTGATGAATGAATAGTTTCTACGTGCTCGGGATTTGATACTGGTGTTACCTGGCAAAGATAAATGATAAATGAAATAATATCTAATAGCTTCATATACAGTAAAGCCTCCTATAGTGGGCATTGGTTTTGAATTCAAAAAGTATGTAGTGATAACTATAATTACTTATTCAACATAATGGCTCTTCTTTATTGATCGGACGGTAGAATGACAAAAAAAAGATATATATTAACGATAGAGAAAGAATACATCCTTTCTTTGGAATAGATGAGACGGATATATATGTATATAATGGTATCTAAACATTGGCATCATTTTTCTGCCATTACTAAGAGAAAGAGATCATTATGTTTGATTTACAAACATTGAATCTTGAACAAAAGCTTCCACTAATTAAAGACATTCAAAATGGTAACACGACTGTTGCTCCCCAGACAGATGCTTCCGCGACAGTTGCTCCCCGGACACTGGCTCCCGCGATATTTGCTCCCACGACAGTTGCTCCCCAGACGCGTGCTCCCGCGACACTTGCTCCCACAGTAGGGTTATGGATATGAGTGTGGGTGTGGGTGTGGGTGTGGGTGTGAGTCTGGGTGTGGGTGTGAGTGTGGGTGTGAGTGTGGGTGTGGGTGTGGGTGTGAGTGTGGGTGTGGGTGTGAATGTGGGTGTGGGTGTGAGTGTGGATGCGGGCGCAACTGTGGATGTTGGTGCGAGTGTGATTGAAAGGGGGGGGGGGGGGGGGGGGGGGGGGGGGGGGGGGGGGGGG